AAAGCCTGCCAAGTTTGTCCTACTCCATTTGAGGTGGTATTATGAGTATTTCATTTTTGGTAGCAATAGACTGCCCATGCTGGACGAAACGAGCTAAAAATGTTATGTGTTTCATAATATTGTTACATCATCATTAATATTTCTTCGCAGGAGAAATACTTTAATAATGAACAAGTCTCTTTTTAGCTTAAGGATACTAAGCGCAGGTTAATCCTCTACCTATTGTATATAAGTAGCAATTGTTTTTGCGCCTCAATGTGGCTTGCTTGGGGAACGTTTGAAATGAAATCAATGGGCACGGTTTCGGTCAAAGGCTTCGTCATTTATCTTTCCGTGGAGTATTTAGACGGTAATGTGCTCTCAACCTCACCTTATAAGAAGTAAATCCTGATCATAGGCATTCGCTCTACTTCAAATTAGGTGAGAACTCTGATTTAAATAAGAACAGTCCCATACAAATGACATGAAGGCATGTTGGATTGGTCCATTCCATCCTTAAAAGATAAGATTCTCCTTCCACTTTCACGAAATCATCGACGAGGTATACTGTCCAGGAACGACACCACACTGCAACACGAGACACCACGCAACACCTGCGACCGATCGATTTTCACAGACGTGTCAGGTAATGCGAGAAAGCGAATCACCACTCGCCAGACATGCTGAACTACGCGTTTCAATGCTTTCCACTACTTCTTGCACTTCTGCGCATTGTCGTCATTCCCACCATCCAGTTCATCATCAACGCTCCCTGCCGCTTCGTTTCGTCTTCTTCAGTTTTAATTACTGTATGGAAGGAAATATTTGCCTTAACTGCCACTCTATTCTCCACCGTGCTTCACTTTGAAATTCACCAGCGTTGCAAACGAATGCAATAATAGGGGGCCGATGAATTTCTGTCATCTTGCATGGGTGCTCCAGTTATATTGCCTGCGGATGGCTGCCTCTGCTAGGCGGGTAGTTTCAAAACCAAAACTACTTGCAAAACGATACTGCACATATTTGGAATGCCCTTCACAATATGCTGTTACGTGTAAATTCCATCATAACCCTTCAGTCATCTTTGGAACACAAGCACGGATTCGGGACAGACGAAGGTGGCTCTTCACACGAGCTTGAATGGGCCTCAACTACCATAGCCCTCTTTTCGCACCTTCGTCTTCCTTTCCTCCACTTCCGCCTCCACCTCCGTCCTCGTCTCCAACTCCACCCCTACCTCCTTCGCCACGTCCACATTCACCAAACCCTCTCCATTCTTTTTCTCGTTCTCACCTCCATTCCTCTTTGCCTCAAACTCAACCACCTCCGTCTCGTCCTCCTGCTCCTTCTCTTCTTCCCCCTCCCCCTCCTCGTCATCCTCGTCATCCTCCTCCTCCTCCTTCTTCTTCCCCTTCTCCTTCTTCTCCTCCTCTTTATTTCCATCCTAGTTCTTGTTTGTCTTCACCTTTACGGTCTCACTGTTACCCCCATTCACATTCACCCTCATCTCCGTTCCTTCCTCCACCGCCTTCCCTTTTCTCACACTCAGTCTCTAATCACCTACAAATACACACACACCTATGCAATGCATGTATCCGAGCATATCAATTGTGCATCTTCTTCCTCTCCAACTGACCAGTCATCTACAAGGCACAAGCAACTCCAGTTCAATTCACTGTTCCACTCACTACCATACATCGCTCCTCGCAACTCAGCATGTCAACCACAATGTTAA